ATATAATTATTTTTTTAAGATTCATATTTAAGATATTTTTATTTTTTATTAAAAAATTTATTATTAATTTTTAAAATAAATCATTTTAAGACTTGTTTTAAACCTAATGATGTATTGAACTGACCCTACTAATAGTGAAGACATGGTTTGTTATTTTTGCAATGGAAACCGAAAATAATAATAAAGAAGATAAATATATTTTTTAAATAATAATAAAGATATAATATACACGATATATAGTTTATGTATTATATATATATATATATATATATATATATGAATATGTTGATATGTTATTTTATATTATTGGTTTTAACTTATGATGCATGTTTTATTATTTTAATTTTTGTTATAAAAGCAAATTTAATATCAAATTTCATAATGTATAATAAAAAGTTAAATTAATCCTTTAAAATATTAAAGTTTATTTAAAGAGACCTCTCATAACATATATGCTTTGGAATAGATGAACTTGAAAATGGAATGATCACTCTCTTATTATCTTTTTCTGTTTTGATTATTATATATATTAAAATGAGTTGAATAATTAATCAGAAAATTAAATAGTGGTATTAGTTGACTTAATTGAGCCGTGGTTGATATATGATGACAAATAATTGTCCACGTTAGTGATTTGGGAGTCAATGGTGCTGATTAAGCACTGCTAATTCTGTTTTGCCAAAAAGAAAATGAAAATAAGAAGAAAAGCAGTTCCAATACCATATATTTATTTGTTTATGAGAAATGCACCCACTCTTTTGAACACTTATCTTTTTATTAAAAATCGTAAAATTACACAAGTTTTTTCATTTTGTAAATTTTAATGAATTTTAATTAATAAAAATATTTAATTTAATTAGTGTATCAAAGAGTATATAACGTGATACTGTCCTTTATTTATATCGTAACTGCAGCCAACTATGGAAGAGCTATTTATCAAGTAAAGGTATAAAATTTGATAAAATAAAAATAAAACTGATGTGTGAATAAATTTCGCTTTAAAAAATAAAGTATTATAATAATTATTAATTAAAAAATCAATATTTAATATTATAATTAATTTTATATTTTACTTTATAAAAATTTGATTTTATGACAAATCTTAATTATTAATTTTATAATTAATAATTGTGAGTGCATTTTATTTTATAAAATATGTTTATGACTTTACAAAAGTGAAATAATAATTTTTTTTTAAAGTAAACTATCTTTGCATGAAACGGCAAAGGGAACTTAGCTTTAAATTGCATTATAACACAATAACACACTAGCTCTTGGACGAGTACAATTTATAGAATCATATATTTATTTCAAATAATTGACTATAGAATCATACATATATATTAAAAGACCTCAAATTCTCATCTTAATGAGTGGCTTTGATCATTGGATGCCAGATCGATCAGGTACCAAAATGGTCCACACTCATATATTCTTTTATTTCTTTTTGGCTAAGATATGGTTTCCGTTATGTGTCATTAATTTTTCTTTTGTAAAGTCCCATCATCTTTTAGATTATCACAAGTTTAATTTTGATTATGAACAAGGATAACAATTGAAGTAGATGTTAAGCAAGGATCGATTAACAGCATATATACCTTTCATGATTTATCACTTCGCTAAACTATATACAATGCTATTAATTAATTATAGTTTTTCTCCCTCGTCTTTGTTACATGAAATGGCGTTTTCATAGAATAAAAAATAAGATTAATATAAAACTTAGAGTAAAATGGTCTTTCGTAACTAAAGTTTGATAAGATACACAAAATAGAATTAAATGATGATCATGTGTAGTAAATACTTCTGTATGATGTGTATATTAATGTATAGTGTGTTTGATTACACGTTTTTAATGCGGTTTTTCACATTTATTCAGAAGCGAATAGTTATTACTTCCACGTTTTTATGATGAATTGAGGTGATTTTTTACTTTCTAACGCGTTTTCAAACATGTTACTAGAGTATAAGGTATGTTTGGGTTAAACTATTTTCAGAAAAAATGTTAAAATAGTACATTTATATTGTCTGTTTAAGAAATAAACAATATAAAGTTTTTATTAAAAAATGTATTTTCACACCCTCTCATATAACCTTATTTATTTATTTATTAATTCTTAATCTTAATAAGCTTTAGAATCTGTGACGTCATGCTCATTAATTCTCACTTTTAAGCTTACTCTGATGAATTTAGCTATCTAAATATTTTGCTTTATCAGATAGTTATACGAATCTCTCTAAAAAAGAAAAAACTATTTATAAGAAATTTTTTTAGTATTAATATCAATCTTCATTAAAAATAAATAAATAAATTAGGATCTTGAAAAAACTATGATCGTCAATTTGGGGGAAAAAAAAACTATAAATTAAAGTGAGAGCATTTTTTTCCTTAAGCTTTCAAGTATGATATTTACAAGAAAAGCTTTTAGTATAATTATCGAGATATAAAAAGTTGCAATAAAAAATTGCCAAAATGAAAATTTTCAAACACAAATGTGAGTAATTTTTTCTCAATAGTCTCAAATTTGAATCAGTATACAACTATATTAAATATTTTTAAAAAAAATTGTTGTGCATAATAGTTTTATCCATCTCAAAGAGAATTACTTCCTATAAAAAAAATATATAGTCTAAATAAAAAAAAATCTCCCTTATACTTTCAAGTTTCATTATTCAAAAATCGTATTCAATTGTCAAATATCAAAAGATTATAAAATAATTAAGAGCTTTATCTTATAATTAATAAATGAAATTTACGAAATTTCGAATTAAAAGCCATTGAAATGTCACATGGTCAGTATAAAAAAAAGTATTTTATTTTTTATATTATAATATTAACTATGCGTGGGTTGATATAATAATTATGATATGCTCTTTTGACTTAATAAATAAATCAACCCCTCCCCCAATCCTCCTGTCAAATGTATTATATTTATTTTAGGTTTGAAAAGATAATTTTATATCTTTAATATTTTAAATAGAAATTTTTTTTTGGGGTAAAGACTGGTTCTTTACCTTAGTTTACTAGATTCTTGGTCAATCGTTGGATATAATGTCATTGACATGTTGGGTATAATGTCACAGGAATGTGTAACCAACAATTATACTATATTGCTATATATAAAAATGCAAGCTAAGAAAAATAAGTTATAAATGCAAGGATATATATACACTATAATATTATGTAATTGTGTAGAAAAACATTACATTTATTTATGAAATATGTACAAATTCGAAACTTTCACGTAATCTAATTTTTAAATTTGGAGCTATAAAACCTATCCTAATCAACTCTAACTATAAAAATAACCTATAATTAAATTAGATAATAGTGCAATTCATGTACCAAAAAAAAAAAGATAATAGTGCAATCCATTCCAGCTATATTTGCTAACAAGTTAAACAATTAAAATTTGAGAGAAAGAAAAATTAAAATTCTTTTATTTACTGTATTATGTTAGTATATATGATTTCGTCAACCCGTTCACGACATTCCCAATCCAAACTTCCTCCGCCACCACCATGAACAAACTAGAGAGGAAAAAAACATTATTTTATTAACCATGAATACCCCGTTTATTTACTATCGAATTTAAAAATTATTAAAATTAAATGAATGTTTGGTTTGAATTTTATGACCTGATTCTTCACCTGACGCAGAAGCAACTCTTCATAACTTCTACGTAAATATATGAGATTTAGATGTGAAAATTTGTTATAACGTATATATAAAACACTGAATTAAACACGTATTAAAATAATATAAGTTTAAAGTAATTTTAGTTTGAAGATGTTTTAAAATTGTGAAAGGGTTAAAAAACATGTATCATACATGTTCTATACTAGTAATATAGAAGTAATGTAGCATGTAAAATGTTAGTGATGTGAACAAACAAACCACTTATTTAATACGTAATACACATGCACAACACTATGTAGATTAATGTGGAGGTAGTTTTTTTTATTTTATATTGTTTTTTATTGATCAGGTGACATTAACACATTATGTGATAATTTTGCATTGAGCCAAGGTAAGACATTTAGTACATGAGTATTTTATTGTGTGATAACTTTTCATATATTAAGTAGGGTAAAAAGGCCTTATACATCATATAATAACTTGTAAAGTGTATTGTAAAGTTATCAATTGCCTAATAATTTTTCATGTACATTTTATTTTGTATAAGGTAGCTTATGTCCTAGGTTTGTTACATAAATTATCATTATATTCACCTTCAACAACTTCTAATTTTAATGTTAAATTTTTTGTAAATGACAATTGTTCCATGTATATTTATTTCATTTGACATACTCTTTTCTTCACATGATGTATTATTTTTTAATATGCAGTATTCATCCTTATCCATGATTATGAACATTATTGTATTACATGCATCTCAAATCTTACAATTGTACAACACACTTAACAAAAGCATTATAAACACACAATCACTTTAGATGTAATTTATTTTTAAAATACTTTTTTTTATAAAAGCGAATTTCAAATGCTCTTGCATTACTTATTTTTTTTAAAGATAAATAGTAGTAATATTAATATTAAATTTAGTTTTGAAAAAAATTATAAATTGGTTTTAGTCACTTTTTTTTAATTGTATAAGTAGTAGTAAAATTAATATTAGATGCAGTTTTGAAAAAATAATAAACTTAGAAAAAAATTAATTTTATTAATTAAATTAATCAAAGTCATTAATTAAAAAAAAGACTATACACTTCAAGTATAAAATATTTTATTCTATAATCTAATCATAAATTATATATATAATAAGTATGTTGACTTTTATAATAATTATCATATACTAATGATAATTAGATAATTAAATTTTTAATGAATTAGATAATATGAAGAAAGAAAAAAAAAGTATCTAAAATTTATGTTAATGAGAAGGAGATTGGTAGTTTGAACGTAGCCGACACTCCCATTTAGTTTGGTCGTAACTCCTAACACTAACGCACATGCACCCATTTGCAATGACTCTTGTGGAAAGTTCAACATAATCATTCTACATTATTCAAATCAAACAAACTATTCCCCATTTTTCTTCTTCTTCAGAGGATTACATGGTAAAATAGAATGACATGTTTTAGCAGAGTTTCCTTTTGTCCTTAGAATTAGGTACAAGCTTTGGAATTGAGTGGTTTGGCTACGCTTTCATATGCTTCTCTACAATCAGAGCATGTGTTTGTCAGAGACTTGCGTATCAATCATGCAATAACCCTCACCTGCCGCCAATTACATTTTTTCATTCCCACGCAGCTTCTAATGTTTTATAGATTCTAGAGTACAATTCCCATAGTCCCACACACCCCATTTTTTTTTTTTTTTTTGGTTATTAATTATATTCCTGTTTTGTGAATACTGTCTCATTCGTTGGTTATTGTTCTCCGTTTCAAAATTGCTACCTAAACTAGCCTATCCAAATCTGAATATTTCTCAATCTGAAATTCTCTGTCCTTTTTGGTTAACCTATGAATTAGCCCATATTTGCTAAAAGGAAATTAATTTCTCCTCCGGGGTGTATAACTCTGTGGAATCGAGAAAAAAAGAGGAAGAGGGTTTGTTCTCATTGGGGATGCATATTGAGGGTGGTGGTGGAGGAAATGGCGAATCTTGTTCCCGGGGTGCTTCTGAAGCTTCTTCAGCACATGAACACCGATGTGAAGGTTGGTGGAGAGCACAGGTCTTCGCTGTTGCAAGTTGTGAGCATTGTTCCGGCACTTGCAGGGGGTGAACTGTTCCCAAATCAAGGTTTTTATCTCAAAGTCTCTGATTCATCTCACGCCACTTATGTGTCTCTACCTGATGAACATGATGATCTTATTTTAAGTGATAAGATTCAGTTGGGGCAGTTTGTGTTCGTTGATCGTTTGGAGGGTGCTTCTCCTGTCCCCATTCTTCGTGGGGTTAGGCCTGTTCCTGGGAGACACCCTTGTGTTGGAACCCCTGAGGATATTGTTGCTACTCATTCCCTTGCATTCCTTGACAACGGTAAGGACAAGAATGGGGTTTGTTCTGGTGGGGCTGGCATGGATAGATCGAAGTCTCCGAGGAAGGTGTTTGGTGGTGGTGTTGGGGAGAAGGAGAAGAAGGAGAGAGTGAGATTAAGCAGTAGTGGTGGTGGGATTGGTAAGGAGGAAGTGCAATCTAGCAAGACTAGTGGTGTTTTGGGTAGGAGCAAGTCTCAGTCTCAGCCTCAGCCTCAGCCGAGCAAGCCTTCACTCAGGATTGAGGTGAAGAATGAGTCCTCTACTAGATTGAGGTCCAACAGTTTGCGGTCCGTCCCTTCCTCGCCGAGTAGTTGCTATTCATTGCCGAGCTCTTTTGAGAGATTTGCCAATGGGGTCAGGCAGCATCAGGCAAAGGTTGGTCCTAAGGTGGGAGGGCTGGAGACAGGAAAGGCTGTTCATAGAGCTAATAGTCCGGTTGGGAAGAAAAGCGCAGTGGGAAATCCGATTAGGAATTTGGTGCATGGATTTGAAATGGGGGCTAAGGCTCTAAGGAAAAGCTGGGAAGGGACTGTGGAGGTCAACACTAGAGATTCTTCCAAAACTAGAGTTGCAACCAAGTTTGATCCTAAGCCTGAAGTTAGTGTGAGTCGACATTTCTCCTTTTGAGAAACTGTTAATGTTGGATGCCAATGCTTGTTGGATTTAATTGTGTGCTTTTGTGTTGTTTTTCTTTTCTTTTCAATTCTATATGAGATACTCTGCTATGAAGTTGGTTGGTGTCAGTCTGAGAGACCTGGATTTTATTACCTCCATGGATTGAATCAATCAACCAATTGTAATTTTTTTCCCTTTCATTTTATATTTTTATGGTCTACCAGACTCCTAGGAGGAGAAGCATTGCATATGAAAAGCTGACATCTAAAGAGGAGGGCAAGATCCAACCACCAACAAGGCTCCCTAAGGAACAACATAAGACCCAAACATCTACAAAGAAGGCTAGTGCTAATGGAACTATGGAGGAACCAGAAAAGTCAAGCAAGCAAAGAATTTCCCTTGGAAAGAAATCAGCGGAAGTTTCTAACAGCGGGCTCCCTGGAAACTTGGTCAAAGTTTCTCTAAGTAATAGAAAAGTGACAGATGCAAGTATTCAATGGGCTTCACTCCCATCATCTATTTCAAAGATTGGAAGGGTATATCCATTAAGAATTTCTTTGCTTCCACATTTTACTTCTTTGATTCTTGTCTGTCAAAGCATATATTGAGGAGTGACAATTGTAACAGAAAAAAGAAAGGAAGGCAAGGATTATTTTGAAAATAAATTTCTTGAGTTATATTAGCACAACTCAAATGAGTATAACGTTAGCTGCATGTGTACTATAATGACAAATAAGTATGCCATAGGTAGGCATAAAGTTGGGTCATATGATTGTTTCCAACATATATCCTTACTGCTGCATGCATTATTCAGAAGATTATATGGCATACTGAATGCTTCTGTTCAGATGAGAAATTCTTTAATTGTATTGCTTCATTCTTATTCTATTTTCATGTTTATGACAGGAAGTAATGAAACACAGAGATTCGGCACAGATGGCAGCAACTGAGGCTATGCAAGAGGCTGCTGCTACAGAGAGTTTATTGCAATGTCTAAGGTACGAATATATTCAAATCAGGAGAATAACTTTAGGCAATTAAGATGAACAATTCTTCTAGACTGCTGAAATGTTTAGATCAGGTCTTAGTGTTATTCAATGTGGTCAAGATTGAGTAAAATTTTCATCTACTGAAACAAAGCACCTCTTTCACTGAAGATGTAAATTAGTGTCATTCAAAAACTGTGTTGTTGATACTTTCGATGAATTATGTTTCCCATCACTTCTGCAATACTGAAATTGATGTGCCTGGATTGGTGGCATAAATCCTAAACTTCATTATTTGCATTGCTATGTAGAGATTTTCTTCTCCACTTTGTCCTATATATGTCAAAAGTTGCATATCCTCAATATATTATCAGTTATGTATTGGCTAACAGTTATATATATGTAACTTTTAACGTATGTAGAGATTTCCTGTTTCATCCTTTGATTAGAACCTCAAATCCAAATGTTTCTACGGATGGCCTAGTTTATTGATTGTTATTTGCGCCCTTGCTTTACAACCACTAGACTGCAACCACATCACTTTATTATCCAACTGGACCTTCTTTACATGTCCCCTACATTATCTATCCTCATTCATTCCTGATGTTCATTCTAGCTAATACTTGACCCATATGTGGTTAGTGGTTTAGGGGTTATTCTCTTTGCGTACCTGTGGTTTCTGCATTAAACATTTCTATTAATGGGAAAAATGTAAGAGGTGGGTAAATGAAGGGAGTAATTTGAAGTGACTCGTAGAAAGGAAAAACCACAGGTGAAAAATGTGACATTTTTTCAAAATGAAAATTAGGCAAAGCCAACAAACTCCAGATCACATGCAGGTTACGTGTAATTTACCCTTTAACTATAATGTGTAATCAAGGCAGATATTTTTTGGTCACCTGTTGCAAATATTTGGACAAAAAGTGAAGAAAATGTGTATGAATGCAATCCATGTTAATTGTTGTCAGAATTGGCTTGTAGTTTGATTGGAAAGGATAATTTTGATAGACGTATTATGTATATATTTCACACTACTAATGAAAACTTTGTAATTTAACCCATGGTGAGATGCTGAATATACAGCAGGAAATTAGGCTTATAGATTAATATAGTTGATCTATTTTGATAGACTATTATGTTGAAATGTTCTAATTCCATGCTACATACCAAGTTGTTGGTGACACTTGTTTGTGATGTTTCTGGCAGAACATATTCAGAGCTAACTAATTCTGCTAAGGAAGATAACCCACAGCCAGCAGTAGAGCAGTTTCTAACTCTTTATGCCAGCCTGAATAATACCCGGACAATTGCTGAATCCTTATCAAAACCTGTTCCAGATGGTTCATCTCCAGATTATGAGAAGAGCACGGTGGAAGAAGCCCTAAAAGTAAAATCAGATAGACAAAAACAAGCGGCTTCCTGGGTCCATGCAGCCTTGGCCACCAATCTGTCATCCTTTGCTGTTTTTACAAGAGACTCTCAATCATCCAAGTGTACAACTTCAAGCAATTCTCAAAACCAAAAGACTGTCGTGGGAAGTCAACTCACATTAGTCCTACACAGTTCCAGTGAAGATGCATCATCGAAAGTTCATGCAAAAACTCGTCTGACAGCTAATTCCAAGTATGCTTCCTCACAAGGAACTCATCGTAAATCAGTTGATGGGTTATCAAATGGGCAGAAGCAGCTGGTCCAACCCCCCTCAGAATGGGTTAGAGGAAATGGCCTCAATGAGGTAGTTAATTTGGTTGAAATGTTGCAATTACAGTCGAGAGTCTGGTTTTTGGGATTTGTTGAGAGGTTCTTGGACAGTGATGGGGACACTACCTTGTCAGATAATGACCAAATAGCAGGTATGCTCACTCAACTAAAGAGTGTTAACGATTGGTTAGATGAGATAGGATCGAGCAAGGATGATGGAGAATCGTGCCAGATATCAGCAGAGACATGTGACAGGTTGAGGAAGAAGATATATGAGTATCTTCTTACACATGTAGAATCTGCTGCTGCTGCACTCAGTGGTGGATCACAATTGGCGCCGCTGAACCAAACAACACAGATTAAAGCCAAACGGTGAATAAGTACATAGCTTAGCTTAACGATGCATGAGTTGTAGGACAGTTTGGGACTAAACTTGGTCACTGAAAGTTGTCCAAGGTCCACTTTAAATTTCACTTATTTTTTCCCTCCTCTTACGTCTGTTTGTACATAAATCCTACATGGGGTTTGAGGTATAGATGGAGTCTAATTTATTAGGGGGAGATAGCCAACATGATTTGTGAGGATTTAACTTTCATTTTTCTAAATATTGTTCAGATGAAATTATACAAATTGAATCAATGGAGGATATAAGCAGACATGATCTTTTCTAAAGCCCTTCCTTGAGTTGTGATTCTTGCATAGTTTCCCAAATCATGTACGATGTAACTTCTGCTGCCAAAGTATAAAGCCATAAGCATTACCGTTTCATATTTCACTTGTCAACTCTCAACATCATTGGTATGGGTTTTACTTTCTCTGGCACAACCATGAATGACATTTTCACGAAGGGAATTAACTACCAATCTTTGGTTTAATCATAGCAGCAAAAAGAGACATTAGATTGTGATATAGTTAAGTAATACAAAGATGAATTATTTTTATGCAGCAAAGCTATTAGTAAGTTTATAGTTTATGAATGTTAAACGATGGGGCATGTAGTAGAATCGTTATGTAGGCTTTTGTTTTGGCATTGAGCATGCGATAAGGTACTAATTGTACAGAAACTACAAATGAGATGCAGGGCAATTGACAAATGAAAATCTCTCCTTGTTATGGATCTGCCCCGTTGAAAAATTTCTCTTTTAACTGGGTTGACAGAGTAGGTTGAAGATGTTATAACTTGTAACCAAAAACTACAGATAATAAAATACAATGTAACACAATGCATGACATTAGGTGACATTTGTTCCACTAATTGTTTAGTGATCAAGGCAATGGTACAAACTTTTATCAAGAGAAAGATGGTTATTGGCTGCAGGAACAATTCAAACGTGCAGGACAAAGTCTTATCATGGAAGAATGAATTTGTAACATAAACTGGTCAAAGTCAAAGGATGATAAGAAGTTTGAAAACTGAATGTTCGTTGCTGGCCAGTGCCAATCTGGTTGACCCAATTTTCACGGTAATGATAATAATAAAGTCATCCTGTTCAAATGGAGGGTAGAGTTGATTTTGACTTCCTTATTCTTAATAATCATCTCTCCTTTTAAAATGGAATGTAAAAAGACATTAAAAGTTGAATTGACAAGTTGGGGCTACAACAGTTATTTTATCCAAGTTATGGGGAGCATTTTTGCAAAGCTGGCTTTGCTCAGAGTCAATAAGGATGGTTTTGTGTTTGTGGATGACTTTGATGAAATAGTTAACACCCAGTAGATTTATCAACTTGAATTATAATTATTTTTTTGGATAACGAAAATTTTGGAAAGAGAAAACAATATCCTAATCAAAACAGGAAATACCTGTCTATAAGTATCAAATTTTCACTTGGTCTTCCTAGTCTATGCCATTTGGACAACAACGGAACGTAGAATCAAATTAAATATGATGCAACCAAGAGGAACGTAATGAAATGAAATGAAATTATAACTTCATTATTTATATATATTATGAGTAAAATGCATACACCTATCTCCTAAATTAGAAGAATACAAATTGGGATTTTATATGGAATAGAATGTATTCATTCCATTATGTATTTGAATTACCAATATTTTGTTGCTGTAACTTGACCAAACCGGAAAATCTCCATGAATAAAGTTGGGTGAGAATAACTGCAAGGCACATAAATATTATGTGATTAAGAATATTTTAATAAATATAATATATATTTTATATAAAATCGTGAGAATTAGATGCAATTAACTATCCTCTTTAATATGAATAAAATTTGCTCTTATTTTTTTTACTTATATATAGATTTGTATCAATTTATAATCACTCAATCATAGTTGTTGATAGGGGTATTTAATATTTTATTATCATCAAAATTTTCTCTAATAATGAGTGTGATTTGAAAGACCACTAAATCTAATAGTTATTAATATTTGTCATTATATGACCTCTTCAAATTATCTCTTATAATAATTAATTTTTTTGGAGTTAAGTACACTTAATTACTTTATGATTTTACAGTTAATAAATGTTATAACTTAAGATTGACTCCTTTTGTCTCTTGTGAGGTGTGAGGATCGGGAAAAATGACTAGTAATCTAGCTACATTGATTAATTAGGTGAAAAGTGTGAAATTACAAGTCTCAATAATCTTAAGAATAATTTTAAATAAAATAATACAATTTGGTAACAAAATTAATGTCATTAACTAATTTTCTTAATCTTAAAAAAATTCTTGATAGCGAGGCTGCTGCTTCTAATAATAATGAGCAATTTAACTACTCAATCTAACACTAAAAAAAGCATTCATCCTATTAACACCATCATAAACATAATTTAAGTATGACCATAATACTTGATGACGTCGTGATGCATAAAACAGATGAAGCATAATCTTGATTTATTTATGTTTTTAAAATCTTGATCTACTTTAACATGAAGCCTAATGGATGAAGCATTAAAGTAGATGAAAAATCTACAATACATTGAGAACAATATTACGCTTTACGCACATAGTTCAATTATATATTCCTTTCAATCTTGATGAAGATCAACAATATAACGAGCTTGTATATTTTGCCAAGTAAAAGTGGGGAAATTGATGTAAGGGAAATTTCTGGCTAACACGAAATTTAAAAAAAAAATAATAATAAAAAATGATGGTTCATGAGCTTGGCACACCCGGTTATGGTGGACTAGAAGAGCAGCAGCCTGTTATCCTTCCACTGTGAGGAGAGGAAGGTGGTCGCTGCTCTGTGAAGCCAGCCTCACGCTGTGAGCTCCGCTTTAGGAACAAGGAAACCCAAGCCTTCGCCCAAGTCCCATTGCTCAACTCCTAACTTGGAGCGGGCAGGCCTGCATAATGCATCTTCCAGACCAACCGAGCGTAGAACGAGCCATGTTCCATCACCTTGGTGCCCCCACTCGGGTTACAAGCTAGAGTTATCAAGCTCGGCGAACGGACATCCTTGTCAGATTCTTATAAAGGATGACTTGTATAAGAAATTGGTCGATGTGGGACTTGTTCCTTCCATGAGGTGGAACATAAAATGTTGTAAACTTGTAATGTTATCTACCTGGACAACTAGTAAAACAGAAAATCCAGAACCCCAACTACAAGGAAAAATGGAAGATTTCATGGATTGATTGATAACCCAAATAGAGTTAGACTTATGTAGTTAAGTTATAAGCAGGTGATATCCATTGTTAGAATTTAGACATAGGCTTGAAAGCAATAATTGGGTACTAATGACAAGTGAAGTTGCGTGCGTTTCAATTTCAAGGTTTTGTCATACTCATATCAGACTTGCACTGAAGCAACTGATATATGAAGTTTGCGTCCATCCAATTAACACAGCATAACATGATTGAACGAGGAGTATAGGAGTCTAAAAAGTCCGATTTCATTACGTAAAAAATACAAAATAAAAAAAAAAATGTTGGTTCAAGAGCTTGGCACACCCGGTTATTGTGAGCTGAATAGTGCAGCAGCCTGTTATTCCTCCACTGTGAGGAGAGGAAGGTGATCGCTGCTCTGTTAAGCCAGCCTCACGCTGTGCCCTCCACTTTAGGGTCAAGGAGACCTAAGCCTTCGCCCAAGTCCCATTGCCCAACTCCTAACTTGGAGTGGGCAAGCCAGCATTATGCTTTGACCAGCCCAACCGAACGTAGCCCAAGACATATTCCAGGTAGATGATAAACACACCTCCACTCTCGTATAAACACATCCCTTTTTTAAAAAAAATATATAAAATGTCTAAATTATCCTTTAAAAAAAATGAAATTCTTAAATTTACACCCCCTTCCCCGCACCAGAACGGCACTAGAACGGGCCGTTCTGCAAGAAGAACGGCCCGTTCTGATTGCAGAACGACCCATGCTGCTTGCAGAACGGCCCGTAGTCGTTCTGCAAGCAGTACAGGCCGTTCTGCTTGCAGTACGGGACGTACTGCAAGCAGTACAGGCTGTTCTGCAAGCAGAACGGGCCGTTCTGTTGCAGTACAGGCCACCGCGTCACTTTTAAAATGACTACCTTATGACTGATTTTAAAACTCCGATTTTAAGAGTCATTTTTGTACTAGTGTGTCTTTCCATAGAACAAGTAAGAGTCTTTCTCTTACAAGACCACCTGCTGACATTGCGCACCCCTCTTCTTTCTCTTTCTGGCACTCCTCTTCTTCTTCTTTTTTCCTGCACCTCGCACACCCTTCTTCTTTCTCTTTCTGGCACTCCTCTTCTTCTTCTTCTTACTGTTACGGAAAGTTCTTTCCGGAATTATATAAAAATGTTTCGGAAAATACTTTCCATAATATTAAATTCTTATTCCGGAAAGTATTTTCCGGAAATGTTTTGTTACATAATTCCGGAAAGTACTTTCCATAATATTAAAGTTACTATTACGGAAAGTTCTTTCCGGAATTATATGAACAATAATTTTACTATTCCGGAAAGTACTTTCCGGAATGCTAATGACTGTAAAAGTACTTTCCGGAATGCTAATGATTGTAAAAGAGCCTTTCTTATGCTGGTTATGGTGGGGCTAATCCTTTTTTTCTATTCAGAATGACTGTAAAAGTATATTACTTAATGACATTGAGCGGAAAGAGGCTTTGGGAAGAAGAGGAGTGTGGAGTGTGGGGTGCGGGGAAAGGAGATGTAAATTTAGGAATTTCATTTTTTTTAAAAGGGTAATTTAGACATTTTATATTTTTTTTTTAAAAAATATTATGGAAAGTTCTTTTCGAAATTATATCAACAATAATTTTACTATTCCGGAAAGTACTTTCCAGAATGCTAATGATTGTAAAAATACTTTCCGGAATGCTAATGACCGTAAAAGAACCTTTCTTATGCTGGTTATGGTGGGGCTAATCCTTTTTTTCTATTCAGAATGACTGTAAAAGTATATTACTTAATGACATTGAGCGGAAAGAGGCTTTGGGAAGAAGAGGAGTGTGGAGTGTGGGGTGCGGGGAAAGGAGATGTAAATTTAGGAATTTCATTTTTTTTAAAAGGGTAATTTAGACATTTTATATTTTTTTTTTAAAAAATATTATGGAAAGTTCTTTTCGAAATTATATCAACAATAATTTTACTATTCCGGAAAGTACTTTCCAGAATGCTAATGATTGTAAAAATACTTTCCGGAATGCTAATGACCGTAAAAGAACATTTCTTATGCTGGTTATGGTGGGGCTAATCCTTTTTTTCTATTCAGAATGACTGTAAAAGTATGCTTAATGACATTGAGCGGAAAGAGGCTTTGGGAAGAAGAGAAGTGTGGAGTGTTGGGTGCGGGGAAAGGAGGTGTAAATTTAGGAATTTCATTTTTTTTAAAAGGGTAATTTAGACATTTTATATATTTTTGTTAAAAAAAAGTGTGTTTATACGAGAGTGGAGGTGTGTTTATTATCTGCCATGTTCCAACACTTTGAAGCCCCCACTTAGGTTACAGGCTAGCGTTACCAAGCCCGGCGAACTGAGGCACATGTCAGAGACTTATAAAGAATTGTTTGTATAAAAACAGGGTCAATGTGGGACTTATTATCCCTTCAATGAAATAGAAGTTATCTAAGGTGGAACATAAAGAGTGTTATAATGGTATACTTGAATCTACCTGAACAACTACTGGTAAGAAGGATATGGAACTAAAATTCTAAAGGGTATAAGTTTACCACTAATAAAGAATCTGGAAATTTTTTCAGATTGTATAGTAGTGGTACCATTTGAAAATTGATTAGACTTTAGCTTCATTGAATATATGAAGTCTGAAAAAATCTTAATTTGAGTTTTCCGGTGAAGGATGGTTCTGAATGTTACCAGTTGATATATATGAAGATCAAACAAGCGCCATAGAATAAGGGTTATATTTACTCCAGATTGTTCTCCACTATTTTGTTCTAGACTCTGTATATATATTTTATTCACTAAGGTAGCAATTATTATCCTTTTATCATTCCTTTTGATTTTGAGAGGATAAAAAGTGGTGGTTGAATAGATATTTGGCTTTCTAAAGTGATAAGGTGTTTAGAGAATAATACACTCAACAACTATTGATTAAAAAAATGACAATCGGCCGGGAGTTATGATATTCTCAATGATTGATTTTCTCTATTTAATTATTATTTCTACACTTTGTCTTTTAAAATGCACTCTTTTCATTTTAGAGAAGTATAATCCCTTTCAAACATAGTGTTATTGTAACTTTTTCCTTCTGATGTTTTGAGCAATAAGTGATTTTGTAAATCGCACAAAAATAATGTTGGGATGACAAATTATTCAAAAAAACGCCTACAAAAAAAAAAGGAAGAAGGCAAAATAATAGAACGCAAAGTGGAACATAAGATGGAGAAGATGGAAGTAACAATTTAATAGCAGTATATTTTAGCTTTGGAAAAATGTTTTGTAAACAGAAATTTGGGACAACAAAAAGCTGTCCTTCTTAATTTTGAGATGTATGAAAACAAAAATAAAGAAATCTGTTAAATTTAACAAAGTAGAGTAATGCTATACAATATGTTAAATTTGTTATGTCCAAAATAATGAAATTGTTTGTTTTTTTCTTTCTTGAGTCAATCACCAAGCTTCATAATTCCCTACGATGATGTCATTCATGATTATCATTACGTAAGCCTACAACTCTCTCTCTTGATATGATGTATATCATGTAAGAATTTCTTTTGCTAAAGACGAGAAGTTGCTACTACTAGTGTACTTGAGTTGCAGTTTAGTTGGACCACTACCCCTTAACTATATGCCATTGAGAATCATCCTTTTATACATGTAACTAAAATCCAACCAAGAAGATATTGGCAAAAAGAAATATATTAAGCTTGTTGAATTGTGAATCATGTGAAAGCCTAACTCTGTTTGTGAGACTTCATATGTGACCGTGATGCACAACACAACCACATGGCACACTTAAAAATAAGAAAAAAAGAGGACCTAGACAAGATCAATTATAGAGTCTAGTAAAAACTTTTAGAAATGGTACAATGTGCACTAACTCAATAGTAAACAATGAAACACAGTTATGAGAACCATTTAAAGAATAAATATGAAACAAAACTGTATTATTCATGCTGATACTAAAAAGGATTATATATATCATATTCTATTTAAAGATCCACAACTAATTTTATAACCTATATTCTAAATATTTATAAGAGATATTATAGTAGTTAAACATATTATTCCTAATTACATGAAAATATGATTAAGATATAGATGATATGTTGTTAAAATACAATCGATAATTAACTTAATACTATTAATGTGATAAAATGTGATAGAATATTGTTGAGCATCGAAGGGATTACCATACATATACACATGTTTCTGTGAGGGCTTGCTTTTAGACATCACCCAAAATGCCTCTCGACTAATGAAAACAATTGTGTGTATATAAACTCATGTTCATCCTCTTGTTTGAAAGATGTGAGACTTTGCTTGCATCCCAACAAATATAAATAAGTTATTAGAAAATTCCACAATTTTCTAATTATGTTGGGCTAATTATGACATGCAACATTTAATGATTGTTTCACATAGTAGATTTTGTGCATTAAATGTGAATATCATGTGGATTTGGTGCATTAAAAAATGCCTGAAACATGACAATTTATAGTTTTCCGTTGCTGCAACATGTATTCATTGGTCTTGTAGAATGAAGTTTGAGATGTGCATGCAGCATGATTGTGGCAAGTTGTGCATAATTGAAGTAAGCAAGTGTTCATTACCATATTTCATTGTGTTGTACATCGTAGGACCCAAGCTGCAATTGCACTATCCATGCCTAACTGGCAACTGTAGTGGATTTGGACATTAACCATAAAGTTGACTAGAATCATCTCCTTTCTTTTGGATCACAGCTGCAACTTCACTGGAACAATATGGAATTAAACTTTCTCTTGCGTCACATAGTTTAAATTTACTTGTTATAATGATGTTAAAGTTTTTTAAAATGAGTGTGTCAAAAATTATATTGCTTCTACTCCTTTTATCTTTTTATATTATTTGTTCGTAAGTTTTGAATTCCGGGAAAAAATTGAAATGTAACAATCCACCACCCCCTTTATTCATTACACAAATTCAAAGCAAAAGCTGAAAAGGTAAAAGACCAAATGAGCGTAAGCTACAAAGTAATAACAAAGGCAAATGGTAGGCAAGTAAAGAAAAGAACACTTTTCTTCAAACTGATTAATGATTCAGTTATCTGATCTCTCATTCACTGTAGCCATCTCATCCCTAATGAACACATGCTAATTTAGTGTTATTTTTCTTCTTATTCAATTTAGTGTTATGATTTAATGTCGAATAAATATTAATTAATTAGAATGTAATTACAGGTTCAATTCTAATATATTATTATGTATAACGAGTTTCATAACTTTTATTATAACTATTTTAAAAGCCATTTTAAAAGTAATTTCTAATTAACACATGCAGTAAATAATTGAGTTCTTCAAATATATTGGTAGGAGTTTGATTTTCTAGTCATGTATATGGATAAGACATCTTTAAAAAAGGTAAATCCTAATTTAGTGTTCTTTAGTCTTTATATCTCGAAAGAAATTAGAATCAGACTATTATTTGAGATATAATTGATTTGCAAACGGAAAATCTATTTTTTCATATTAATATTGCATAAAAATAAATTCAATAATAGTAATAATAAACTAAATAGTAAGAAACGAAATAAAGTGAATAAAACTATTATCTTAGTACTTTATAATGAGGTAAGTAAAGTTTTTTTAAGTTAGAAATGAAGAAAATGGCGAAAAAGCAATTGAATGACGATGTTTTTTAAATTTTATTTAATACTTCAAAGCGAAAAAAAAAAATAGATTAGATGAAGTAAACAAGAAAAGCAAAATATTTAATTGTATAGTATTTTTAAAATAATAAAAATTAGTACTACTTGTGTTTTATTTTAGTTGAACCCAAACATAAAATAAGGGACATGCTTATCCCTTGGGCGGTTGATGCCATTGAGAAAGTGAAACACGTTTGCCGGATACGTTATGGCAACAATCACTTGTCATCACACACCAATTTGGCCAAATCCACTTGCCACTCGCAATCTCAAATGCAAATTTTAAATCAAATTTATTATGTTCTTTAAGGAATATTTTAAGAATAACCGTGTTATTACAAAATACCACACCTAAATATATAGGAAAATGTTCATACATAACATAATTTCACGTACTAAAAATTTAGAATGATATTTTGGAGAATTATTTAACATTCTTTATTAGTTTAAACTAATGTAACAACATTGGAAGAAGGAAAGAACCTAGAAGGTAGATGGAATCTAGGTGAGAGGGAATGGTTGAGATTAATTTTTGTCCACGTGTAATACATTAAGAGTAGTGTGTGGTGGTGTGATGCATAAATAAACTTCACTAATATCTCAATGTCTTGGTTTGAGGGGTACCAATGTATTTCCACCTCAGAAAAAAGAGAGAGTGAAAATGAATAATGAGGAACATGAAGAAGGGGTGGTGGTGGAGGACACGGTGCTAAGAGAAGGAAAAGCAACTTCGTTTTCACCCAAACAGTGCCAACCCACTCTTTATCATACCCTTTTCCAATTCATTACATACATAGATGCTGCTGCGGATGCTTGCTAAACCTTCTTCTGCTATGGCCACTCTTCCTTGTTCCAGGGTTTGTCTCTCTATCTCTCTCTCTTTTCATTTCCTTTTACAAATTAATTATAGCCAAATAAATATTTAATTATTCTTCTGATTTGAGGCTTTCTTTATGATATGAAGCTAATTTGCTTTTGGTTTCTGTAACAATTAACAAATTGTTTTATTTGTGCAGAGATTTTCGTAGAAGCAAAAAAAAATCATTTGTTCTTCTTGCTTTATTTAGATTTGTTAATTGTACAATAATCTTCTTGTTGTTTGGGTTGTAGAGGAGATTTTTGATTTTGTTTGTAACAGATTTTGATTTTGATTATTCTCTGTTTTCTTAGGTGAGAAGTGGGTTGTGCGTGTGGCCAGATGTGAGACAACTTTGCTTTAGAAAAGGCATTCTCTATGGATTTATGAGGTTGTTTTCTACACCATTGAAAACACTGCGTGGAGCTAGTCGCTCGCTCAGAGTTGCTCAGTTTTGCAGTGTTGTCAACATGTCTTCCACATTGCAGATTGAATTGGTGAGATCAAGTTTCTTATTAGGTCACCCAGGCTGATAAGTTTTCTCAAGGAATATGCTGAAAGCCTAACTTGTGACATTATTGTGTTTTAAAAACAAAATTTGTTAGGTACCTTGCCTGAAGGACAATTACTCGTATCTTTTACATGATGTGGATACTGGTACGGTTGGTGTTGTTGATCCATCTGAAGCTGTGCCTGTCATAGATGCCTTGAGCAGGAAAAATCGAAACTTGACATACATACTCAACACTCACCATCATCATGATCACACTGGTGGAAATATAGAGTTGAAAGCAAGATACGGGGCAAAGGTATTTATATATAACATCTTATGCTGAGAATTGTTATGCTTTGTATTAATATTCTCTCTGTATTTTCAGTGGCATCATTCTATAATAAGTTAATAATAGTAATGATAATGGTGATAGTTAGAATTGTTTGTGTTTGAAATATAATTCCTCATGTAAAGAGCAGGTTAAAGGTGGGGTTTACTTTGCTCTGTTTGTCTTTCTATCTTCTTATCGTGGTACTGGTTTCCTTTATATCTTCCCTTGGCAAGTAGGAACATCTTTTGGTTTTTTGGATTAAGAGTTTGCCTTTACCTTTTAAAGGAGAAGTTCTCTTGCAGTTTTGCTAGTTTGTCCAACCTAGCATTCATATTAGACTTACTAACTGAAATTTAGTAAAATATTTTTTGGAAATTTCATTTGATTAATTATTGACAATTTGACAAGCCTGCTCTCAAGCCTGGATAAATGATGAGGGTTGTGTTAGGCATTCAGCAACCAACAAAAAACTCTCCAATATAACACATGGATCACTCACTAATCAAGCCAAGTAGCATTGTGTGATCCATGTAGTTGATCTGATCTAGTGGGATAAGATAAGGCTTTGTTGTTGTAATTATTGACAATTTGACATATTAGACCTTTTGATGATTGATCAAGCACTTTGAAAGAGTTGGTTGCTCTTACGGTGTTACTTTGTGTGTTTCTATATTATGCCTATTTAAGCAAAAGGTCTGGATTTTCTAAAAGCAAGTTTTGATGTATGATTTATATGATTATAGTTACTACTAACAATTTTTATAAGCTTATATTTTTTGTGTAAATGTTTAACAGTTCCCATGTTGAATTACAGGTGATTGGTTCAGGAACTGACAAGGAAAGGATTCCGGGTATTGATATCCATTTGAATGATGGTGATAAGTGGATGTTTGCTGGTCATGAGGTGCGTGTAATGGACACACCTGGTCACACCCGAGGTCACCTTCTTGCTCTGTTGCTCATTTGCATTAGTAATTCTTAATGTTGAAAATTATTAAAAGAATCTCAATTTTTTATTGTGGACTCATTTTTCTATTTTTCTATTTATTTATACTGTAAGCAGGCCATATAAGCTTCTATTTTCCTGGATCTGGGGCAATTTTTGTTGGAGACACTTTGTTCAGCTTATCATGTGGCAAGCTCTTTGAAGGAAGCCCACAGGAGGTTGGTTTAAATAGTATTTAATTTGTCTTTTCTTTTTTTCTCCTTTTAAGTTTTGAGATTTCTATCCAGTGATAAGTCATTGCATCTTGGGACATGTCTTATTTTTTATATTTTGTTTTATCCCCTTGCCAGAAGTCCTAGAGATTTTAAAATACCTGCACAAAGGAACTTGTTATTTAAATTGCTATTAAATTAGGACTGATACTCAGTATCGCTTTCTGTAACTCAACTTGTGAATAAACGCCTTTATTAAATATAGTACAATTATTTGACTTATTTCTGGAAGGCTTTATCTAAAATCTGGTTTGGACTTTAGGAGAGTCTTTTCCAAAACCTGTATATATGTTTTTTGTTTTTGAGTTGAAGATATAGAATATTCCAATGGACAATTGCCCGAATTTGCATTCTAAATGTATGGGAAATTGAATCAAAAATTGCCCGTGTCTTCATTTTCTACTTGTATACCTTTTGCCATATAATGTTTGACTTCATGAGCATGTTTGATATTCATTAGTAAATGTGCTGTTGATGATGCAAAGTGGGTCAAGTCATTTACTTAATAAGCTTGTGATGTGGGTTGTATCTTCCATTACTGAGAATTTCATCCATGTTGCAGATGCTATCTTCTCTTAAAAAGATAATGTCTTTGCCAGATGACACAAATATATACTGTGGACACGAGTATACATTGGTTAGTCACATTTACTCTTGTCCTGTATGTTCTGTGCTTCCTTTTCTTTGCCTAAGTGGTGCGATATTGACTTTGGTGCCATGGTGTTTGGCAGAATAATACAAAGTTTGCATTGTCTATCGAACCTGAAAATGAGGAACTTCAATCCTATGTTGCCCACGTAGCTTACCTTCGAAGTAAAGGCTTGCCCACAGTAAGTTTTAGAATTGTACTTCTTTTAATGAATGGTTTCAAATGTCCTCCCTCCATCTTCCTTTCCCTAACAACTCTTCTTGTTTAATCTTATTCATTAGTCACAAATCATTGTTACTAAGCTTATATATCTTTGTTTGTCTCATTGTTTGTTTGAATCTTTTGCCTCTTGCTTTTTAACCAAATTAATAAGTACTGTTTGTCCAGATTCCTACCACTCTGAAGATGGAAAAGGCTTGTAATCCATTCCTTCGTACATCCAGTCCTGCAATCCGGCAATCATTAAAGATTGCAGCCACAGCAAATGATGCAGAAGCTCTTGGTATCATTCGGAGAGCAAAGGATAATTTTTAGAACTTTTTTATTTGTATTTTGAAAGTCTGAAGACACTTGTTCTTTAGGGTAGGGTTTAAATTCATCTGTGGAAGGAATAATATATGTTTGATGCTATCTTCTCAATATGATTTCAGAATTTAGTTTCTGAGCTCATTTGGGAGTGAGTGTGCATACTTGGTGCCCGGAATAGTTGTGATGCGATTCAGAGGTGCAAATGAATTGAGTCCGGTTTAGGTTGAGGGAAATTTAAATCTAGACCAATGAAAATTAATTGATTTGGATTGTGGATTGCTTTTCCTTCTTTAAATATTGGGAAGTGAAGAAAAAAAAAATGAGATGGTAAATTATTTCGATCTCGTCATTTTTTTTTAAAATTCTTTTACGGTAAAATATAATGCATGATCTTCTTCATATAAGAAAGAAAGGGGACTAAATCATTGGATTCGATAATTCTGTTGTCTTGTAATTCCGTTGGATTATAAAAAGATTGGTCATCATTGTGATTCCGTTGTTATGTTGGATTGAAAAAAAAAATAGAAGATTTTTTTAATTCTAAGTATAAGCAATATGGCACTCCATCTGAATTTATACATAAGTAAAAATATTTAAATGTACACATTTAAGAAGATTAGTTAAGTTTATTTAATTTTATTGGTTTCATGTAAAAATTAAATGTTACTTTCTATACTAATTTTAATAATATTTAATGGAAACACTAATCATAATTTAAGGGTTATTTTTGGAATAATAATATTAAATAAGGTTAGATTCGTTGAAATTTGCTCATATTTAAATAAAAAAATTTATTTATCTTTTATTTATATATGAGTTATGAGATAGTATCAAATTCAAATGTATTATTTGTTTTAACAAAAAAAAAATGAACTAATTACTACTTTCATTTATATTCCTAATTATTGTATATCAATGATATATTTATTCATTGTTCACTAGGGTGGTGCATTTATTGAGTTTTTTTATAATATAAATCATTCTCATGCAAAAAAAAATCTTAAAATGTAAATAGTAACATTAAATTTAACTACTTAAATGATTAAATTTTATGGATGTTTTGAAATCAAATTTAAATTTATAATAATATTAATTAAAGTTAATTAACTTAATTGTTTTTATTAATAATAGTAAATAAGGTATTTATTTCTTATATGTAAGATAAGATTGGAGATAGTATTATATTAATAAAGTTTAATGAATAGTTAGGATCTCATAAAGTGATAATGTTGTTATAAAAGTTCATATTCTTTAATTATTGTTTCATCTATCTTAAATCTTAATGTAAAGTCCTAAGTCATTTAACTCATGCATGTGACATTATTTTAAAAAATATAATAAAATTTGATTAGGAGTAAATGAAACATTTATCATAATATTACTTACCAAACCTTTAACTAATAAGATATTCCATTAAATAGTTTAATTATTTACTTATAATGGAACACTTTTATTATTATTGGATCAACATGGCCAATAGAGTTTCCCAATCAAATGTAATTTCCCTCAAAGTCCAGGGTTGATGACCTCCACTAGTGTAATTCTACAAACACTTTACAAAAATACATATTCATCATGATATGATGCATGATCATACAAATGTCCATAATCTAAAAGGTCTTTATAAACTTTTCATGAGAGACACCTACTTTTCTATGCTATGCCCCTCATCATTATCATAGCATAATGTGTTTGTAATATTCATAGTAATCATTCTTAAACATAGTAATTCATATTTATCATTGATTCTCATTCACATATCATCATAATTCATTACAAACATGTCAAATATAAACAATAACTCTCATTTAATGAGCTAGACTCTTATTTAATATCTAACCTTTTACAAACATAATTTACTCTTTAGAATTTTCTCGCTTTGTATCACATTTTTAGCACCCAACAACATAATAGTGTTGTTTTATGCTAAAAGTTTAATTCTATTGACGAAAATTATAAGATGACACGCCAAAAATAACAAAAGAATATTACGTTAGTACATGACATAAAAGATAACTTGTTAGACTTATTAGTACACAAATCTATAAGCCTTAAAAACATTTTTTATTTATAAAAGTCTTCTTATTTTTTAAAAACATTTTTTTAATTATAAAACCCCATTTAAAACAACCTGACACCTTCCCATAACATATTAGTTAATAAAAAAATCTCAAATTAATTATTAAATCAATTGGTGTTAAATTTGATATTTAAACTTTAAGATTTTGAATTAAAAACTTATTTTTATAAAAATAATGAAATTTTAATATTATTTTTTATTATTTAAAAACAAAATCATCTAAAATTATTTACATCAAATTATCATTTTAATATACGTTATACAGTATATATATATATATATATATCTTAGATTATAGATAATTTTTTTTACCAATGATAAAGAAGAGAGAGAGAGTAGTTGGTAATTCTACGATGATAACTAAAAAAAAATTTCGTAGCCACTTGGATTATTGCTTACCCCCCTACGTGGCTCCTGTGAAGTGCAAAGACCCACATAACCAAAACATTTTTCTTCGTCTCAAGCAAAATCAAATTCCGCTACTTCTTTCAATTTCTAGGGTTTCAATTTTCAACCGCTCTCAAAACTGTTCACAATAATCAACTATTTTTGACGATTCGTACCTGTCACCAAAACCTAGTTCTCCATTGTCGCAGATTTCATATCACAATGCCGCTTACTAACAAATCCATGGAAGGCGAGGAGTGGGGAACTCCGACCAACAACCTCTGGGTCGGGAATTTGACGCCGGAGGTCACCGATTCCGATCTCATGGACCTCTTCGCTCCGTACGGTTCTCTCGACACTCTCATATCCTATTCTTCTCGCACTTTCGCTTTCGTCTTATTCAGGCGCATCGAAGACGCCAAGGCCGCGAAGAACAACTTGCAAGGCGCTGCGCTGCGCGGTGTTCAAATCAGAATCGAGTTTGCCAGACCGGTTTGTGAAAGCTGAAAACGTTTCTGTTTATTTTGTTTTTCATTTTACAATGTGGCTTTCTTTGCGTTGAGAATGATGAAATGAATGAATTGTGTTTTCAGGCGAAGCCGTGTAAGCAATTGTGGGTGGGTGGTGTTGGTCACGCCGTTACGAAGGAGGATTTGGAAGCGGAGTTTCGCAAATTCGGTAAGATTGAGGATTTTGTGTTCTTCAGAGACCGCGGTACTGCGTGCGTTGAGTTTCTCAATTTGGATGATGCTACGCGGGCCGTGAAAGTCATGAACGGGAAGCGATTAGGTGGAGGCCAGATTTGTGTAGACTTCGTTCGATCACAATCTACGAAGAGAGTAATTTTCTTTTTTAATGATTTTTTTTAATCAATTGCCTGTTATGCTATTATATATTGATTTCTTCAATGATGTTTGCTGGATGTGAGCTATACCAGCTTCAATCTATTACTTTTGCTTTCGTGTTTTTATAGATATTGTTGAATTGGGTTATTTGCTTACAAACCTTTCTACGCCTTTATTACTTTTTTTTTTGCTCTTGTGATTATTACTTTCATGTGGCTAATGTTTTCTTTATTAATTTTCTATAGGATCATTTGGTTGATCATGGGCAGTTTCAGGGTAGACCACAGGTTAGAGTTCCACTAACTCAACAGCATTTGTGTTTAGTTTTGCTTATCTGTCATTGGATGCATGGTATGTATATATGTTTTGTGAAGACGAGTGCAAGATATTGTTAAGAGTGGGCACATAAAATGATTGATGTTTTCACTGTTTTATATATGCCCCTCGCTTTGAACTTTATTCTAGTGTTCCTTATAAGTACTCATTCTTGTGTCACAGCATTTGCAACCTTCAATGGGGAGGAATAGTCAACCGAGTAAGATTTTGTGGATAGGTTTTCCTCCTTCTTTTCAAATTGATGAACAAATGCTCCACAATGCCATGATTTTATTTGGTGAAATTGAGAGAATCAAGAGTTTTCCTTCTAGAAATTATTCATTTGTTGAATTTAGAAGCATTGATGAAGCTCAGCGTGCCAAAGAGGGTCTTCAAGGGCGGCTTTTTAATGATCCTCGAATAACGATTATGTATTCAAGCAGTGAGCTGGCACCTGGCAAAGATCACCCTGGCTTTTATCCTGGAAATAAAGGGCCTATGACTGATGGATTAGTTAATGAGCATCCATATCGAGCACTACAAACGGATGTATTTGGGCATAATCGTCCTGTGGTTCCAAATAATTTTCCTGGACAATTCCCACCTGGTGGTAATACTGGACCTAATGTCCCAATGCGACCTTTTGGTCCTCAAGGTCTTGAACCTCTTATCTCTGGTCCTGATTTTAATGAGATGGGTACACTCCATAAATTTCAGGATGGTAGCTCTAAAAGTCAGATGGGTCCAAGCTGGAAAAGGCCATCTCCTCCTGCCCCAGGAATGCTTCCTTCTCCTATGCATGGTATTAGGCATCCTACAAGATCCAACTCTGGTGCATGGGATGTACTTGACATAAACCAATTTCAGAGAGATTCTAAACGTTCACGGATAGATGATGCTCCATTTCCTTTAAGGAATATAGATGATCGTGGATTGGGACTAGAACAACCATTTGCAATTGATCCAGTTATTGATGGTGCTGGTTCTGGTCCAAGGAGTCACCTTGGTCCAGCCGGTTCTGTCCTACCTGATATTGATCATATATGGCGTGGAATTATTGCAAAAGGGGGAACTCTTGTTTGTCGTGCTAGATGTGTGCCTATTGGAAAAGGGATAGGAACTGCAATGTGAGTATACTTTTCCCTTTTAATGAATGTCTTGGTCAATTTTTAGATATTCAAGGGATCGGATGAAGGAAATAATAATGATCGTTCAAATTTTTATTTTTAATATCCTGTTGGCTTCGTTTTGCATTTACATTTCTGTATTGCTAGTGTGGTTCTCACGCAGTATATAATTTTCCTTTGTGTGATTGTTTCTTTACTGTGTGAAACATTTACAACGACATGAATTTTTTCTGTTAAGTGCTGCAAGCAAGCTTTTCCATTATATATTATTGTTCTTCCTGTCTATGATTGGGAAGCATAGTGTGTTTATTGTTCTTGCATTTTGTTCATAAAAAAAATGTTCTTATGTCTTATTTCTTTCTTCGGAAAATGTTGATTATTAAGTCATTGCCTTTTGATTCTTCAAAGTCTTGTGTTCCTTAACTATGGCTTAATATTTGTGGATGAAATATAGTTTACACTCTCCAAATCAAAGTTTGTAGTGTGCAAACAATACTCCAAGCAGACACCCTATTTTTGGTAGGGCTTTGGATGACAAATTATTTTTTATAGAGTAATTGTTAAGGGCAAACTGGCACTTCATTCACTCTTTACTAAATCTGCGTGTGCGCAAATGGACATTGTTTGCCTACTCTGTTTCCTTTACATCCCCTCTTTTTTGTTTTTACAGGATAATGTTTTGATTTTCTTCCTCTAGTTTTTCAGGCTATTATTTTGCTGCTGTAATTAATATTTGTTCTGTGCTTTTGCTGCAGTCCTGATGTTGTAGACTGTGCTGCTAGGACTGGGCTAGATATGCTAACGAAACATTATGCTGATGCAATTGGCTTTGACATTGTTTTCTTTCTCCCTGATAGTGAAGAGGATTTTGCTTCATACACTGAATTCCTTCGCTACCTCAAAGCAAAAAACCGTGCTGGTGTTGCCAAGTTTGCTGATAACACCACTTTATTTTTGGTACCTCCTTCTGATTTCTTGACCAGGGTTTTGAAAGTCACAGGACCTGAACGTCTATATGGTGTGGTTCTTAAATTTCCATTAGTTGCAAGTAATGCATCTATGCAACAAGCAATGCATTTGCCGTCACCCTCTACTCAGTATATGCAACAGGTCCCCCCTTCACAAGCTGAGTATGGTTCAATCTCTGCAAAGGAGGAACAGAGTTTACCAATGGATTATAACAGATTGTTTCATGAGGATTCTAAGCATCCGCCAAAACCACTTCATGCAGCTACAAGTGTCCCCCCCTCAGCTCATTCTGTTCCTCCTGATTATGCTCCAACTTATACTGCTTCGGTATCCCAAGCTGGAGTTACATTGACACCCGAACTTATTGCATCTTTAACTTCTTTACTCCCTGGAACTACGCAATCATCAACCACTGGCCCCTCTACTGTGAAGCCTCCTTTTCCTCCTGTTGCACCTAATGATGGAAATCAGTCTCATTTGTGGAAACAAGATCAGCAAGTTGCAGATCCACCTAGTCATCCTCCTCAACAGTTTGGGAGTATTGATAATGCTCAATATCAACCTTATCCGCCTACATCTTCAACTGATCACCATGCTCAAGCGGTCTATGGCAGTTCTCATTTCCAAGATTCTGCTTCCAGGCTTCAGCAAATAGGTGCTGTTTCTTCTACACCCGTGACTAATTTCATCATACCTCAAAATGGACAGGTAGCTGTGTCCCCTCAAGTCAGTCAACAGTATCAGGTGGAAGTTTCCCACAACACTGAGAAAGGCTATGGAGTGGTTCAGGGAACTGATGCCTCTGTTTTATACAGTTCTAATGCGTTCCAACAACCCAATAATTTTATTGCCTCATCCAACCAAGTTTCCAATGCAGCTTCACAGCAACAAACTGTGATGCCCTATACAGTGGACAAAGTTAATTCGGAGCTCCCAAATCAGCAACTTCAACCTGCTTTATTTGGAGTGGGCTCAGGAATGTCAGAATTGGAGGCTGATAAGAACCAGAGGTACCAGTCAACACTACAGTTTGCTGCCAACCTTCTCCTCCAGATACAGCAACAGCAAACACAAGGAGGACATGGGCCAGGAAATCAACAATAAGAGTTGTTTTCTGTGAGTAATGATCCTATGACAAACTCTTTTTAAATGATGGAATCCTTCATATCATACTAAAATTACGATTTTCTTCTCTCGTAGGGATTGTCACCATATTGTATTATTTCCCCAATTTTTTTTATGCCATAGGTGACTACATAGTCTGTGACCTGTTTCATAGCATAGTTGCAAAGTTTTGTGCTATATATTTTTGGGTTATAAATCTGAAAACCATATATTAATATGAGGAATATGCAAGCCTTGAGTAGTTGAACTTAAAAAAGACATATTAACCACTCATAGGCAAATGTCTATTTTTTGATTTGTTCTGTGAGGAGGGTTTGTTGGAACATGGTATTTATTTAGGGGATTGGGGAGGGAGGGATCTGAAGACTGACAAGAAATGCAAGGCTTAGCTATTAGATGTCGTAGGCAATTTGTTGTTAGGCTGGATGGATGTTTCCTTCGGTAGGTTTTGCTGTCGATGTTTTTAGATTGGTGTGTATTCTATGTTGGAATACTAAATGTATTTACTTGATTGAGATTTATTCAATATAGAGTAATAGATACATTAATTTGATTAGACTGTCAATTATTGTAATCTATTGTGCAATTTAGAGCTGTGACTATTCCCTCAGGATGAATGAACCTCAGAAAATGCAATATCCTCTATAGTTATAAACTTATGATGGCTTAGATTTAGATACAAAAATAATAATTTTGAGCAACAAGTTAGCTCACCTTGGCAAGTTGATGTGTTCTTTCAGGAAAGGATTCTATGGAAAGAACTTGGTGGCTCTGCATGCTGTTTCTTCCTAATTTTGTGTGCAGCAGAATTTTCTAATCTCTTTATCAACTTGAAGGGCCATTTATAGAAATTAATTCTATTCTTTCTCTCTTAACCCGAGAAAGGATATTTTTGTGGTGACTAAAGTATGATGTTGCAGATTTATTCTAATTGAATTAAGATTAGTGGGATCTGAATATTTTATTCTTTTTCAACCTCATACACATTTCTGTTTCTAGTTCTTTTTCTGCCGCCATTGCTACTACCACTAATATTTTGCCAAGAGTCTCAGTTATTGAAGATGTCAACTATTGGTTTTTTTCCTTGGATATTTGCAGGCTTGACTTGTGGTTGGCCATATAGGTCATCCATTGGTTATTACATATCTAGTATAATATCTAATATTTATCACTTTGGCCGTTGACCAATAAAATTATGTAGTTCCTTCCTTTCCTGTTATTGTTTCTCCTCATATACTGTGAACTGGGATCTTTTCATGTATAAAATTAAATTTGAGGTATTTACCTATAATTATAAATTGAATTTCACTGTTTTTGTAGTGTAGAATTTATTTTCTGTCCTTTATTGATATGTTTAGGAATGATATACTTTTAGGACAGTCAAGCAGATTTGCTTTGCCTGGTTATTTTCTATGTTGTCTCTTATTTGTTGATTTTTTTTTTTTTACTACAGTTGCACCTCGTAATCTGTTAGTATTCCCTGGAACAGTGCTTGCTAAGTGTACTTGCTCATCTTCGTCATCATCTTGGTTATCTTCTTGAGTTGCTACATAGTCATCTCACTCATTAACATTTGGAAAGCCTTGTTCAGGTATGTTAAGAAAATTGGCTATATTCTGTGCATAGTGATGTAAATTTCTGTTCATGGAAGCCATATATGCTGTTCTATAGTAAATTTCCGTCCATCACAATCTTTTATGCTGTTCTATTGTCTGTCAAATGGTGTAGATTCTGTTTCTTTCCTGTTATATATATATATGTGTGTGTGTATGTGCTTTAGCTATTTATTTTGTTTGATAAATATTAAACATTAAACATAGGACATATATTTTCTGTAGTAGAAATTATAGGCCGTGTTTAGGATTTTGATTTTTTTTCTTTACTGCAAGGATCTAAGGAAATACATCTACATTGGTCCTGTATTTGTGGGAATGATTCAATTCAATGGTCGGTGGATGATTGATCATTGATGTTAGTTATACTGACCAGTTTGCAAATTGCAAATTGCAGTTAGATTGTCATCAATATAAGATGAATTTTCTGTTGAACGTTAGTTAACTTCAGTGGTTAGGAAACTTACTGATAGAGATAGTCAACAGTATCTGGTCTTTGGGAGAATTAATAGCATTTATAATTGCCCCGTTCATTCATAAAATTTGTACAATACACTCCTTGGTAGAACATTGTCATTAAGTGACTTAGTTTCATGTATAGTTTCAGATAGAGATACATTGACTTTGTAACAATTCCGATGGTGTGCCTTAGAATGCTTGCATAATGGTTCAGATGAATCTAGTAAATACCACATTTTAAGTAGACCAACTTTTATTTATTTTTGTACACTAGAATTAAGTTGTCCATTATTATCTTATTTCTGATTAGTTTAAAATATTTCTTTAGATTCCATCATATGCTGACTCATTTTCTTTATCTCCAATATTTGTCAATGTTTCTGTGTTGTTTTTTAATTGAATAGATACTAATGTTGTGACATAAAATTTGGCTCATATTAATTAAGCCTTGAACTTCACTGCACTGGAATTGCATGATAATAACTTGGTTTAAATGCTGTTTCCCATTATTTTTAAGCTGTAGGCTTAGAGCACTTCCTTTCCTTTAGAAAGTAAATATTCGGGTTGGGAACTCAATCTCACCATAACTTATTTCACTGAGTTGTAATTTTGAACTATGTAAGGATCTTAATCGTGCTTCCAAAGATTATGTGAAGACACTTTCTGATCAAATTTGTAAATTTAGTTACCGCTATTTACTGCTTTCCTAGCTAACTATTCTCAGGGATTGGTTAATAGTATCTAAAATTTTGGTAACAAATGCCTATTCCGACTATCCCATTGTTTCTCCTACGCTTCCTTGTTATAACTCTTTCATACCCAATAGTGAGAATATGCGGTTTATAATATGAAGATTCATTGTATTACTTTATATTACGTGATTCGCATCAATCTTTAGCGACTATGAACCTATCCTAATTACTCCACCAACTGGCTTTAGAGGATAGTTTTTTGAATTGTTAGAAGCTTATGGAAATTTCCCTCCTAAACGTCCTTGTTGATTAATTGATTTTTTGTTCTTTATTTTATGCAAGAAACATTTGATGAAAATACAAAACCTCCTAAATCCACTTTCAAATTTTATGGGCAATGCGTAAAATGCACGCTATTGCAATAGATGTGTATGGTAGACGTTTATATTCAACCTTTATAATTCCCATTTCCAATATAATAAAGGCTAACTTAATCAAGTATGATTAATAGCCAATCTTAAGACACCTTGGTGTAAAAAATAAAAAAGAAATGTGACACCTGGGAAGAACATGTTTACTACTCTTCATACTTAAAATGCCCTGAAAAATACTATTGGGAACTTGATATCATCAGTCTTAATTACATACGTTCTTAATGATGTTCTATCCTCTGATGGCTTAAATGCAGATTTATGTGAATAAAACGAAGTCATTACAATTCCATCTGTATTGCTGGCTCAGATGGATTCTGTTCTCATTACTGCCGGTAATAATTCAATAGGATGACAAATTTATAATGAAACAAAGTACATAATTAAGGTATGAATGTTTCATGTAGATTATTATGCATTCGATTTATTCTTTTATTTCCCCTGTAAAACTATCCAAGTCAGTTTAGTTGGCCTAATTAAATGTAGGAAAGTGGATCTCTATATACTTATATATAAAACTTACAAAGTGTTGTGGCCATTGATGAAATCCGAGAACACGATGATTATTTCGATAATATTTTAGCTTTGCGATCCTGAGATTTCTATCAATTATCACCAGTACTTTTTCTCGACCTTTGTTGGCCTGTTGGATGAGCACACAAAAACTTGTTAAAAGAAATTGCGTAAAATTTTACTTAGAGCCATTCCTGGACACCGGGATGCCAGTAAACATTTACCCAGTTAAAAAATACACTTCAATTTTCTTGCTATCGTTCATTACATATTTGTTATTTTCTGCAGTGTCTACAATAGTTGTTAATAGTTGCAGATTTGGGTTGAGTGTATTAGTGTAGGGTGCTTACTGTTAAGCCATTTTTCTTCTAATTAAGTTTTTCTGTGACGCTTTTCTGAATCGCAAAATATTCCCCATAGTATGAACACATTTTGCTTATTCCGTTCTATTTTTAAAATCCCCTTCAAATGATGGATAATATGGATAAAAGCTCTGGGGTCAATTATAGAATTGAAACGTATAACCTATAAACGGATAGGTTGTCTAAAAAAAATTCATAGTAAAACTTAATTTTGGATTATTCCGTGGGTCTCAACTTCTGGCCATTCATTACGGATTACTTATGTATCCTTTTATGTCTTTCTTTGAATCGTATGACATGCGAGAATAATATTTTTCATCACGTAATTCTGATGTGGTGCACTGTTGTTGATATCTGTTGTTAATAGTTCAAGTTATATGAGAACCGATGCATTAAATTACTTGCGGGACATTGTTGATTACATAGTTCGCTTGCATCGAGTGAGCTCTTAGATAATTCTCTGCTAATTTGGTTTTATATTAATGACGTGTATTCGTGATTAAATGGTACAAGATTAAAAATGTGTTAACAATGCGACACTTTAAAAACCGTTTACTACAATAATCAAACATAACATCCTAATCGTTTCGTTTATTATGTATTGTGTATGGACGTGTAGGTGACTGCTGCGTAAGGTGACGAGGATCATAATACATGCAACGAATTGTTCGTCTTATAGGCTCGGTTGATCATGTCTTTTTCATCTTTTACTCTCTGCTTTCCCAAGCTGGAAGGTTGGTCTTATTGTTCCATGCGGAGAATGTTTGCAATAATTTTTCTCAGATCTTGTTTTATCTAGATCCATTTACAAATAGGTTTTCAAAGCCCATGTGACTCTCTGCAAACTGCTACTGTAACAATTATTTGTTTTTTTAACAAAAAAAAAAAAAACTACGTTTCGGTGATTAGGTAGCCAGCGTACCGTTTACTTTGTTTGGGGAACCACGTGATTTACAAATACAATATTTTTCAAACATTGACAATTATCAATTATCATTACTTTTTTTCTTTCTCTTTCGTGTTTTAAGATTTTGTCTTGCATTAATCTGATTTAATTGAGAGATAACTAAAGTTTGATTACGGATTGTTTTCAGTAAAAATTGAATTCAAACAGTTTTACTAAAGATTGAATTCAAATACTGAGTGAACGATTCGATTTTGTGTATAATGAAAGGTTTTTTTTTTTTTTTTTTTATCATTACTATTACGTAGATTTTGACTTGTTGCAAAAACACTGTCCAGATAAGATTGCTTGAAAAGGGGTTTTACATTTTACTATTATGTGCTGCTTCAATCAACCTTCCTTCACTAATAATTAAATGTTGCTTCAATCATTTATAATAATCTAATTGTGCATAATTGAGACCCATATAACTAATGTTTAGCGCAAAATTTGCTCCAGAGATTAGAAGGGTTTAAAAATTATATAAATAAATAATTACAGCAATGGAGAATTTACTTCAGAGATTAGCACAAAAAATGAAGAATTCTGGGGCATTTTCTAAAGTTTGGCATTCTTGGAGGATTAGCAATGTCGTTGTCGCATATGTACCAAAATAAATGTTATAGTCCCATTTTTATTTTTCAATCTGAGATTCAACTTTTATAAATCTATAATCGAGGAACTAATATTTTTCTCAAGATTTTCTAGCTAAATACAATAAATCAACTAAATCAAATCAATTGAATTAACTGATCGATTGAAATTGACTAATTAATTAATTGTTTTTTTACAGCAATTAATTGTTATATAAAGTTATTATATAGTATAAAATATTATAAACCGTAAAATTAATTTATACAACAATAAAAATATGATATAAGGCTAAGGACTTTCATCGGATGTTAATAAACCTATTTGTCAATTCATGAAGTAGAATTTGACACATCACAAATGTGTATGCATTACGCTGTTGTAGTTTTCAATACATTTTTTTTTTTTGGTCTTTGTCTTGAATCTATTGCAATGGCAGCCCCACAACTAGAACCATAAGTACAACAAATATTTGGATAACTTCTGGATTGATGAACTGGAAAGATATGAAACAACTTGTACAATCAAACAACTAGAAACGTTCAAAACATGCACTCCAAAATAAAATCTTTTCACTGCTATCAAACTAGTTTTCGAGTCAATTGCCACTTGTTTTATTTGGGTTGCAAAATGCGAAGTTGGCTCGTTTCTAACGTGGACGATAATTTAAGTGGTCCACAATTTATGTAAGTCATGTTAATAAAATAAACAGTTCTTAAAATTTTGGGTGGATGGATTTTATATTTCATAGCTCCCCACTTGATAAGGGGCAGAAAATTTTAGGTAAAATCTTACGAGTTAATCACCCATACATTGTTAGTGTAAAGTTTTTTACACTGATAATTAATTATATCTTTTAAATTATTTTATTTTATTTTTAGTTTATTAAATAAGTATATGACATGATACTATTAAAAGATATGATTGATTGTTAGTATAAAAATTTTTTACACTAGAAGTGTATAGGTGATTAACCCAAATCTTATTACCATATTATAATTGCAGCGTATCTGTTGGACGAACTTAGGTACGAAATTCAACGACAAAAACAAAATGTAAGTACAGATTGAAGAGTCAACTTTGCAAATTGCAATACATTACAAAACCTAATGAAAATTTTACTTTGATTCATATATTCAAATACAATAATATAGTATACGCAAGTACAGATTGAGCCTCTCTCCAAGACAAATAAGTACAAATATTCATATATTCCCCCATTTACACTCTCTTAAATGGTTAAAATTAGTACATGTACCCTGTCTGAAGCGAAATAGCAGCGAATTATAATAGAAAGATAAGAAATAATACAATAAAAATATTTTTATAGGGTTGATTGCGAGAAAAAACATCATAACAGAAATAATTCTTGTGAGTCTTATTCAAAAATTATTTCTCACCCTTGATGTGAAGAAATGACAAAGAAATTGATGAGCTAGTCTTCTCTCTCCAATGATATTAATTTATAATAAATATTCTTTTAAATAATACAATTATTTTACAACTAATATTTAAAATAAATAAATATTATTATATAATTATTTTTAATTTAAAATTTAAAATTTATATTTTACTTTCAAATTATAATTTATAATTATATTTTTTAAATAAATTTGAAGTATTATTTACTCATAATAACAAATATTAATTTTATTCCAATATAATTTTTTTCCTCTCCATCCATTCAAACCAAACAATTACACAATAAAATTTCTTTTATATTTCTTACCTATTTTCTTTAAATTAAACACACTGATTTTTACTTTATTTCTTACCTATTCTTATTCACTGATTTCTCTCGTCTATTTCTTTCTACTTTATTTCTTACCTATTTCTTTCCTCACAACCAAACATAGTACTAGTTTTTTTTTAGAGAAAAATACACATCTTTTTAGGTGATTATGTGATTACTAAGTTTTAATATTTGACCATTTATATATAATTTAATTCTTTATCTGTTAAAACAAATTTATTTTCCTGGAAAAAAAAAACATAATCCAAACCCTTCCAAAAATTTTCACCTTGTCAAATTAAGTATGTGTCATTCTTAAAGAGAAAAGATAGGAAGGACTCATGAGTCACAACCAATTATTTAACAAGTTGCTTAGTACATCATTTAACAACTCCTTTGATATTCCATGAGACATTTTGAAAAATTTTCATGACAATAATAAAAGAAATACGTAAGTATAAAAAAATAACAATTCATACATTATGTGAGTTAAACTCTTTAATATTTAAAATTATATGATTCAGATTTATAATTTTTAATTTAGTAAATAACTATAAATTTTTTATCTACATGTCCTTCTCTCAATATATAATTATTAGTTAAGAAAATATATATTAAAAAAAAAAAAGAGTACGGAAATAGTTGAAAAATAACCCAAATAAGAAAAATCATGAAATGGGTAAATAAGCTTAAAATAGTAATAGTTTTAAAATAGGAAGAGTGTCTCCCATTTATTTATTTAAATAGTTTTAAAACATTACTTTAGCCAAAAATCATGGGTTCACTTATGTTTCTTAAATTAGATTCAATCCTCACATTAGAATGGCAATTTTATAAAAACTTATACCATCTTATTAGAAGAAAAAAAGTGTTAAATATTTAGCACATGAAGTGGGTTGATGGAAGATGCAAAGTGGGGGAATTGAATAGACAAGTGAAATGTTTTTGTTTTGGATACATTATTTTATTATTACATTGGAACATTTAATCGAATAAATAAATAATTTGTATTAGCATCGGAGAGACATAGAGTGTGTCTAATGTCTTGGGCTGGAAGCTTCGGTTTTGGGTCAGATCTCAGTTTTCTCTTTCTCTTAGGGTTTTCGCTTTCTTCCGAT